TTTTTTTTTATATATATACTTAGATCACTTTCCGAAATCAAGAGAGAGCAATGGAAGTCTTATTTTTCAGTACTGCTATTATCGACTAACATTTATCGTCAAAACATTTTAGTTTAAAATGTTAAATTTTAGTCTATCTTTAACTAAAATTTAAGTCCTTGAGAATTTTATAATAAGTCTTAAAAAGTCCTTGAAAAGTACTTGAATTTTATTTTTATAGTAGAGCATGAACCCTGATTTTGAGTATCTTTTTGTTGCCTCATAATGAACATAGTGCTAGTGTTTTTATCCAAAGCTAGTGAAATAGTGGCTCTTTAATATTATAAGAGTAAATTATTTAATCAAATATATATTTTTTCTGATAAATTACTAACTTGCAACATCTATTTTTTTTTTATTTATTTAGTTATCGGCAAAAACTTTTGTTAAACTTTGTTTTCAGCTTATATTAACTAAATTTTTCTAAATGTAAAATTACGAAATATCTTTGTCTTGGTTCAGTTCGAACGGTCTAATGAGCTTTAAAATAACCCTTCATCTATAGAATAGAAACATGACTTTATCCAAGAGACCTGTGTGTACTGTGGTTTAGTTAAAAAAAATAGATCCAAAAGTAGATAAAAAATCAGAATTAAAACGCTATAGTACAGGGTTCCCAAGACCTGGAGAAAAAAAAAAGATTGGTAGCTAAGATTTTTCAAGACTACTGAAAAATGCTTAAATTTACCTTTCTTTTGTGAATTACGAAATTATTCCAGAGTTATTTTCTGCACCTATATATATTTTCTTCTTTGGATAAACCAATCCTTTTCTATACCTCCAAACGGTTATTTAAAAAATCTATTAGAGAGAACTTTTGGTATTACACAAGAGAGGCAAATGAACACTAATGAATAGAGGAAATGTCAAATATCCATTATGGCCAAGGGACAAATCAGTTGCTACTGGCCACAACTGCCTCTCCAAGCATTTGTATCGTATAAAAAAAAATTCACATCCTTTCTGCCAATCATGCAACATTTGTGAAGAAATGAACACGAACCATTTGAGTCATTGCCTGCACTGGACTCGGATACTTGTGGGAGAAATACTGGAGAGGTTCGGCACAAGATGAACAATTTATAGACTTACTGTATATTCAGATTTGTTACTGTTATCTCTGTTTCTTGTTTTAATTTTATTGTTTGTTTTTCTGTCTGCAGTTGTCTCTTAATTTGTCTTTAGAAATAAAAAAATGTTCTCTTTAAATTAAATATTTATTAACAACTTAAAACATTTAGATGTATCACACTTTATCTACCACTTTAAAAAATTTTTCCAGAGAATCCTGTAATATAATTGTAGAAATGTATTCAAAAATCTAATTCTATTACCCAACTTGTTTCACATTCTTATCTTCTTTGGTTCTTGCACATTTTTGTTTTTTATTTATTTATTATCTTTTTCCATGTTTTTATTTTTTAGTTAATGTGGGAATTGTTTATATTTTCAGTCACAGTACAAAACTCAATTTACTGCCGCAACTGATACTGCTTGGAAGATGGCTTCGAGAGAAAAGGAGGCTGAAAAAGAAAGAATCAGAAAAGAGCGTAAAAAGAGCCGATGGGACAATAGTTAGTAATTTACATCAGCAATTTACCAGAAATTCCTTTTGACGCTCTTAAACTTTAATTGTATAAAGTTTGTAAATAATAATAGACCATTTTGTTGTAATGTAGACCAGACCTCATACTGTTATTTCATCTTGCGATTGTTTCTACAGAAGAATCAATAAATCAATTTTTTTTAAAAGACACAAGTACAAATGTTTTTATTTTTCTAATTTGTTTCAACCAGTTGCATTCAAAGTTGAAATGTTTTTTAAATGACAAATGTTTCAAAAGATAATATACACTGAAAGATCAGTAGAATTTTCAATTTAAAAAAAATTTTTTTTTTTTATACATCATATTTTCTGATGTATTTTATAGTGAAACTTTTTCAACCTCTGAATTTATAATCAAAAATATGTATCAAATTTTGCTCCAGTAAAAAAACTGAACATCTACAAAAGTTGATGCATCAAAGTAGGTTTGCAAATTAGTAATGGTGTGAATTTCTGTGAATTATTATTTTTTTGAATCAGCCAATGCTACTTACATCCAATGTTTAAAGCTCTGTTACAGGATCCGAAAGTAATCTTCCACAACCTTCTGTACCACTTGCTGATCAAATTGCTAACAGTGAAGCTATGTTATTAAGCTTTCTTGCTGAAAATCCCTGCCATTTTCACTTCCCCCTGACCTGTTGAATTTAGTAAAGCAGCTGTCTAAAGATGAAAAAGCTTTAAATGGAATTAAAATGCATCGCACTGCAGCATCATATAAATTACGCTTTGGTGTTGCAAAAACCTTCAAAGAAAATCTTGTTTGGGATTTAAAAAATGGTTTATTTTCATTAAACATTGATAAAAGCAAGAGCAGCAATAATGAGAATATAGTGACAGTCCTTGTAAATTACTTTAAAAACAACAAGATTGTGACTGAACATCTGCAGTCATTTTCTGTTGATAGCGTCAACAGTACTTCTCTTTTTGAAGGCATTGTTAAGCTCTTGGAAGGAAATAACATTCCTTGGAATAATTTAATATCTGTACTTTTGGATTCTTGCCATGTTATGCGAGGAAAGAAATCAGGACTAGAGAGAAGACTCGGGGAAAAATGTCCACATTTGCTTGATATTGATGGTGACTCTTGTCATCACGTGCATAATGCTGCAAAGCAATTCTGTAAGCCTTTTGGTTTGCATCTTGAGTCTCTATTTACAGATATTCACAATGATTTTAAATGGTCACCTGATTTACGTGCAGCTCTAATTGGAGTTTGTGAAGTTCTGAATCTCAAGTATACAATGCCACAAAACTACATCAGTTTCCGGTGGTTGTCAGTATATGATGTGGCACAAGATTTTTGAGGATGAGTAATGCCTTTACTTTATTTTTCTTTTATTTGTCAATCAAAAAAGACAGTTTTTCTCTCAACGATAATTAGCATATATAGGCATTAAAACATCAGCGAAACTGGAAGAGAATATATTCGAAATTTACATTCTGCGCTTGCAAAGAAGAATCTTACGCAGGCAGGAAAAGAACGAAAAAATAGGATTTCTCAAAAGATATTTGAAGATTGGCTAACGACTAAATTAATCACCAACTTTTTTGTGTCAGTTTTGCCATTACTTCAAGAATATATAAAACTTTTCCAAACTGAAGCACCCCTCATTCATAAGCTACATGACAAGCAATTTGACCTAGTTAAAGGATTTTTTGCTTGTTTTGTGAAACCTGAAATATTTGCAGAAATTGGTAATTCCACAAAAAAAAAAAAAAAAATGATTACTGCAGATGTAGCAAACAAAAGCTATCATTTAAAAAGTGATTCAATTTTTGTTGGAAAAAGAGTTAATTAACTCAGCACCAAAATCACAACTACATAAAGTTAAAGGATTTCAAAGCAATACTCTTGAAGGATTTGTTGCCTGCTCACGGGCATTGCAGAAGAAGATGCCGATAAGAAATGATTTCCAAAAGTCTGTATCGTGTATTGATCCAATGTGTAGGCAAAGTTCCTTAGCACTTAAATATATGACTCAATTGCCATTGTTAGTGACAAATGTATTGTCAAGAGAAGAAAAAGAACCCTTTGAGTTAGAGGCAAGAAAATTTCATTCTGATTCCATCCAGCCTCCAAACGAAGGTGATAGTATTGTTGAGTGGTGGGTTTATGTATATAGAACTGGAAAATATCCATTACTCTCTAAGATGGTATTTACTCTTTTAACATGCTTTCATTCTCCCAAAGTTGAATCAAGTTTTAGTCTTATGAATAATATATCACCAGGAACAACGAGATTGAATGTACGAACTTTTGATGCCATCCAGACAATCAAATATCATCTTTTAGCCAATAAACAATCCTCGTTAACTTATTTTGCCAAGAAAGATTTTTTGCAAGTAATCAACAACAAGATTTTGATAAAAATCTTGTTCAAAATTTAAACTCTTCTTGCAAAGCCTACCAAGAAGAAAAAGAAATCAGAATAAATATGGTAAAAGAAAATAAAGAAAAGGTGTTATCAAAGGAGGTTGTAAAAAAATTATGTGCAAATGCTGCTAAAAGACTAAGACTCAAACACAAAAAGAATATACACAGAAATGATAATAAAATTCTTGCAGACAAATCAGAAGATATGACAAAAATTTCACCAGAGAGAGAAAAAAACTTAAAATTATCAATAACTTCTAATGGGAAATCAGCTGTGTGCAGAGCTAGATCCTTTGTTAACACAAACACTAAGATCTCAAATGAAAAAATCGAAGAGAATTAATTCTTTAACTATTAAAGATGTTTAAAAAACTCGCAGCTAATAAAGATCATAATTAATGAATTTGTGCTTTTCATTTCTAACAGTTTATTTTCTTTTGTAAATAATGGTCCAGTTATTCATGCTATAAAATGCAAATTTCTTATCAAATGAAAAATAACTATCTAAACAGGTGCTTATTATCATGTAATTTTTCAAACTTAAATAGCAAATTTTGTATGTTGATAATTTACTAAATGTTTCTACTTCACAATTATTGATGTGTTTCAAAGGGCTTAGTTATATTAAATTATAATATAAACACAGTGATTCAATTGTGAAAGTTTATTTTATTTTCTAAATAATTAAAAAAAATCATGTTACTGATATATTTACTATAAAACACATAATAGTATTTATTAAAAAAAATTGAATGTTTTCAATAATTTGATGTACTAAACTAGGCAGGATTCTGAAGTAATAATTGTCTCCTTTGTGTGAACTGAAGAAAAATATGCGTTCTAGCACTATTTTTACAATGGGTTATTTCACTTTTTATTAAATGTTAAGGTTCAATGTAATTATTCGTATATTAATAATTTAGTATGCAATTAATTTTATATCAACACATAATTAATTATTATATTAAATTGTCTGGAATGTATTATTAAACGATTATACGCGCATGTGATTTACTCTCGTGGAAATTCAGCTTTTTTGCCTTTCAGCCAATCTCATCCCTGTTTCACCAAATGAGCGATATCATAAACAAATGTGCATTTTAAGCAATTTTTTTTGTAGCATCAAAGCCTACGGTTTCTGTTCTTTCTAAATTTAATATGCTCTACAATTTTGTAATAAAATTTTTTCCATATCCAGAATGGTTTTCCAGATAGAAATTCTGCACTTCCATTTTCAACCATTTGGCTTGGGTAGCACCTTCATACTGTGGCATGCAACCGCTTTACTATATCTAGACACAACATTCATTCTTTTTGTAGCAGTAAAATCCACAAGCTTCCGATTTCTTCAAAATTGAAAATAGCCTGCAGTTTTATAATCGACTTTTTCATACATCAAACCATTTTCTAGTTAGTAGAAATGCTAGTTTTATACTTTTCCAACTAGAAACAACATAAGGAGCTATATCTCGACCCACTTTACTATACCTAGACAACACTTTTATAAATATAGAAATTTCGTAAGAAAAAATTTTTAGTAAACAAATGTAATAGCATGATTCAAAAATGGGTGAATGTGGAAAGTAATAAAAGTTTTATAAAAATTAATTGAAACCAAATGTGATAAATGTATTAAAAGTAAATGAGTGTGAAAAGTAATAAAAGTTTTATAAGAATTAATTGTAAACAAATGTGATAGTTACATTAAAAAATAAGTAAGCATGGAAACCAATAAAAATTTTATAAGAATAAATTACATTAAAAAGTGTGAGTGTGGAAAGCAATATTTGACACAATTAAAACAAAACTTTATATAAATATCATTCAGTAAATGAATATAAATATATCTCTTTTATTTACATAATGTTTGATTCATCAATTTTACAATTTGAGACGCTTGATGTCTTCAGATCTGAAGTCCTTCCTGAAAGTAAATGAGAAATGCTATGTACAGTGTACAAAATAAACAACATGAATAACTCTTGATCTAATGTTTGAATTTTCAAATACTAAAACTTAATATTAATGGTTTGTGGGCCTAACCTTAAATATACCAATTAATTAGTAAAAATGACATTCTAATTTTTGAGAACAGACACAAAAACATACTTTCTCTGAATAAACATACATTTTTTTAGACGGATTTTTGAGCCTTAAAATATGGAGAGTAGCTGCTATCAGGAAATTATGGCCTCAATAGCTTGGCCAAGAGATCAGTGTAAAGTTTCGACCCTTTAATGTTCCTTTTACTTCCTAAGTATTTTGGAACAAGTCCAAAAATTTTGGCAGGCAGTTGTAAAATTCTTTCATCTAAAGACTTTATGTAAAAAATAATTATTTTACTTTAATTTTTATCAATTTCTTTAATAAGGGTCAAAACATTTTTTGAAATGTAAGGTATAAGGTATTTTTTTTGCATTTTAAGATAAGGAATTTTTACACTGCTTTAAGTTTTGAAGAATATAATTTCTAATAGCAAAAGTTTCTGAGTTATAAAATTTTAAAAAAGTCACACATTTAAATTTGACTTCTTAAGAACTATTTGAAGGATTGGGGTAAAATTTTCAATTATGCCATTTAAAATATATTATTTAAAACACTATAAAAAAATATATAACTTAAAACTAAAAGTTTTTTTTTTGACATAATAAAAAAAATAATTATTAAAAAATTCTCATATATTTTCTTCATATTATTTTTAGAAAAACAAATGTTATAATTGAGTGCCAAATTTTTTTGATTAACTTTAAAGTTCTCAAGACATGGCAAAAAACACAAAAAGTAATATTAACATTAAGGGGTCCAAAATTTCAACCGCTGTCTTGACCAAACTGCTGCTATCCGCTACTCTTTGAGGGTCAAAAATCCGTCAAAGAAAAGGCTTGTTTATCAGAGAAAGTACATTTTTGTGCATGATTTTGTATCTAAAAATATTGCCTGCACTAATTAATGAGCATATTTGAGGTTAGACCTTTTAACCATCAAGTTTGAGAATTGATACGGAAAAATCTAGTCATTAGATTTTATAATCATTGTTGAACCGCCAACCGAGTTTTCACTTTACGACTATTAATGTTCAACACCGTATCCTTGTAATTTGAAACCCAATCCAGAAGACTAGGAAACTCCTGGATTAAATATTAAGAGAAATATGCCTTTGTGACGGTCATTTTGATGTGAACTAACCCACATTTGCATTACATGGAGAGGAAAACTACGAAAACTTCCACAGTTAAACTGACGGCAAGGGAATTCTACCCCATGATCTGCCTACCACTGAAGATATTTTACATCAGCCCCTTGGTCTGTGCGAGCTGGGTGTGGAATTCAAATCAAACATCCATTGCCGGGATGCAAACGAGGTTCTCCCACCCCTCTCCAGTCATTAGATTAAAAGTTATTCAGGGTGCTGTTTTTTATTTTGAACACTGTACATTAATATGAATCAGTAGAAATGAAGTTACACTGCACGCACATGCACAATTATTTACATAACTATTTTTTGTTAAGTCTTTTTTGGTAGCATTTCACTAGATGGCAAAGCAATCATCTACTGCTAGATTAGATTCACTTATTAGCATACATTCTATGTTATAGGTAATTTAAATCCGCAGTTTCATCTTTAAGTTTATAATGTTATTTGATAAGATCTTTACAATACAAATTGCTCTTCTTCTGCTGGTGATACCAAATAATGCATTGCTCTACCTGTAAAACCAGTGAGCTAGTCTTTTAACAAAGTAATGATTGTTTTAAGAATGTCATCATTAGGAATTAAAACTATCATCTGTTTATCAAAACAAATAAATAAGCCAAATCAATAAACAAATAAATATTAAAATTTATTTTAAATAAGACTTATTTATTAAAAAAAATATGTATTAGAAGAAATATATATTCTAAAATAACAAACAAAATATGATGTTAATTAAATGAAATTTCATTAAAAGTAACTGCTCATTCCTTTTGAAAAGCACAGCCTCTGAAAAGATATGCTTTTTTCAAGACTGTGATTTTTAGTATTAGAGAATTTACAATCTCTGGGAAAAAATTTTACATAAATCTCATTGCTACCTCCTTCATTGGCGAATTAAAATGGTGCATTACTACAGAATTAAATAAACATTATTTAGCAAATAAATATTTATTAAATATCTTTTGTCAAAATAAATTTTTAAACAGTACCTTAAAGATAATACTTGTCTGACTTCCGTTGGAGTGAGACGCCAGGTTAGAGAACCAGAATTTGTACCCCATGTATCCAATAACTCAGTAACCTATAACAAGCAATATATTGTAATCATATGACAGACATAGTTAGAAAAGCACACAATAGTTTCTAAAGTAGGAAGAGCCTCATTTTATTTATTCACGACCAATCGTGATTTTATTAGTAACTAAAAATTTTAATATTTTCATTAATAATTTAATTAAAAATTATAATAATAATAAAATTGTGTTTTAACTAAGTACAATTAATTTTATTTTTTATTTTATAAATGACATTGAATAGGTAACCCATTATTAGGTTTGTGAACCCATTTTCAGTTTGAAAGAGAATAACTTCTTGGTACCAATCTACCTTAGTTTTGTTTTCAAATGTAAGTACAATAAGGGTATTTTCCAAGCAAATTGATTTAAACAAAAAATTACTCAATAACTTAACAATAAATAAAAAGTTTCTAGCACATGATTAGAAAACCTGAAATGGTCAGCAATATGGCAGATATTGCCTATTTTTTTTCTTTCATTACTTATGAATAATTCATAGTTACTTAATGGCAAAATTGAATTTATTTTAAATAAAAATTCTAGCTAAAGGACGAAATTTTAACTTGAGCTCTATGCCTGATGACAACTCAATTTACAATTGTTTCATAGAAGTTGCACATAAAATTTATCTCTATTTTATTGTCAAAAAAAATTTTGGACGCTTTTCAGTACAAACTAACAAGACATAAAACTGTAAATAATAATTTCAAACTCTAAGCGTTTCCAGAAGGATAAAAAAGAGGAAAAAACTAATTACATAGAATAAAAAAAAAAGAGTAGCATATACAGTATACTATCGATATCTCAAAAACTTCATTATATCATAAAAATATTTTTCCCTTATCATTATAAACCATCTATTGTTAATTTGAATTCCTATGTCGAAGAGTTCCTTCTCAAAACCTTATTATGTCAATTTTTTTTCGAAACCAAAAATTAATTTTTTGTGGAAAAATCACAATGTAATTTTATTGTAAGCCAATTCTTTTCTATTTAATGCATAATTATTTTTGTCTTACTTTCAAAAATAAAATTATCATTGTTGTATTTAGACTAATAGTCAGTTATCATTACATACATTTATTAGTAGTTATTCTTATGTTTTATGACTCTACTTAGTAGAGTAATATTTTAGAATATATTTTTTACTTTTAAGAAAGTATTTAATTCTGAATTTGCTATCTGAAAAACTCGATATCTTGAATTTTTTATAGCGTCCCTTTAACTTTGAGATATCAAGAGTATACTGTATTACTTTTTTAATAAACTAATAACACCACCGCATACCCCTCCAACTCATCTTTCAAAAGTGATGCTCCCTACATTTCTCATTTTAAATGGGACAAAAATAACTTCTATTTTCTTCATTTTTAATCCACTCGTAAAACACAATGTCACAGTGTTCTGCGACATCGTTTTTTAACAGTGACGTCTGTTATTTATTTTTTCGTTAATTTAATCTAATTACCTTTTAATTTGTTTTCCTATTATTAATTTTAATTTAACGATTTTTTTACAATTAATTTTAACTTTTTGCTAACTTCTTTTGCTTGTTCCTTTAGTTTTAAGCACCTTCAAATTTTATTTAACTTTCCCCCATTTGCAACTCTTTGGCGTTTTAGCCATCTTGTTTTTTTTACAAGTTTCTTCTTCCCTCCTTCCCGCTTGTTTTAAACGGGGTTTCCCGTCTTGTGGTTAGGGCTTTTTTTGGACCCTCATTGGTCATTTCCCCCTATCCTTCTTTAAAAATCTACCCTTTCCAAGCATATTTTTCACACATTCGGACGTTGGCCCTTTTTTTTAAAAAAAAATAATAAAATTATGTAGCGTTCGGATTATAAGCCATTTTATTTGGCATCTTCTTTTTTTTTGACTTGTTGTAACAAAATGTTACCCTTTTTATTTGTTTGTAAATTTTTCTTATTGTGTCCTTAATGTTAAAAATAAACGTCGATCCCCTTTTTCGAATTTAATACCGTAATTTTAGTGACGGCTGTTCATTTTCGCCATTTTGTAGTTTGTGCAGGATGCCCTGTCGGCATAAGCCATTGTTCGATTATTGCAATGATGTACAATTTTTCTGAATATTATTATTGATGTTTTTTTTTTTGTTAAAATTTAAAATAAATTCCTTCTGTCAACCAAAAATTGTTGGCTTTCGATTTCTTTTTTTAAATTTTTGTCCAAGCTGTTCTCATTTGCTTCATGACTTCAACACGCTGCACAACTCAATTGTTTATGGGTCAGTAACTTTTAACTATTTTGTTCCTTTCCCTTCTGTCCCAGATCTGAACTCAATCTAATGTATATTTTGTATTTTTAAAAATGTTTGATATGTGTTAGGATGCTTTTCATAATCTTATATTCTTCCCCTTTGACCTAAGGCTCATGATCGCTTATGATAATTGTTGCGTTTTCCTTTATTTTCTTCCTTCCCAATTATCACTACCTTCCATAAATAAAAATTTTCACCCTGTAAACTTTGACCTCAAGAGCCCATCACGGTTTTTGTGGTGCATTTCTTTGTACTTCACAGCCTAACCCTGTATCTTCCCTCCAAAACCCCTACAACGTTTAATTTAACTCCTTAAAATTTAGTTTAAGATTAAAGTGATAAAATAAATTATTTTCTCACTGGTACACATAATTTTTAAAATTATGTTTTCTTTGTTAGTTATCTAATTATCTGGGTTAATTTTATCTCAAATCAATGTAATTTATATTTTGATAATTTAATTTATACTTTTCTTAAAAATTACATTTTACACTTTGACAATGACTGTTATTATTAAAATGAGAATATTTTAATCTTAGAATATAATGCCTACATATACAATTCTAATACACTATAGAAAAAAAATAAATGAATTAATTCGAATGACTCACATTTTCCAAATTTAGAATAGTTGCAATTTGAGTGAGCCGAGCAAACTTGTCTCTGATTGTCCATGTAGTGACTGTAGTCAAATATCCTATAATTAATCTTAATTCTCTGTCAAACTGTAAACCTCCTAACTGGAGAAGAAGAAAAAAAGATTTAAATTATACAAGTGAAGATAAGCAATGCCTACTATTAATAAGGAAAAAGATGTGATTAGTTCTTTGTGATATGATTACAATCAAGTAAAAACAATGTTTAAAATCACAAATTATAACATGATTGGCATTTCGTCCCGAAAGAGCTGGAAAAAACTTAAAGAAACTGGACAGGATATGAAGAAATTAAAGTGTCAATGCGATAGTTTAGCTATAATAGTTACAAGAATAGCCTAAATTTAATTTAATATAGTTCCAGAAATGTACAAGTTTTCCATGTGAACTCTTAAAAATGTTTTTATTTACAGTACATGTAATTTAACAGTATACAGTAAATTTACTGTACACTAGGGGTGCACAACCTGCGGCCCGCGGGCCAAATGCGGCCCTTCGACTACTGAAGTGCGGCCCGCGAGAGCTTCTAAACACAATAAAAAAATTTTAAAAAATGGCAATTTTTAATCGCACTTTTAAGTCATCACGTTTTAACACAATCAATTTTAACAGATTCTTTAGTAAATGTTCGTTTAACGCGCTTTCTTTAAGCCGATTTTATAGTAAATATAAATGATTTTTTTTAAACAGTTATTTCCGCTTTTCTACGTGATTTCGAAAATTCCGAATTTTTATTACGACGCGAATTTCAGATCGCAAATTTAAATAATCACTTTTCTTGCACTTTATTTGTGACGATTTCATCTTAAATCTAAGTGATTTTTTATCTTTTTTTTTTGCAATTCTTTCTTTTTTTTCAAAAAATTTTTTCGGCAGTTATTGCTATGCGTTCCCACGTATTATAAAAAATTCCAATTATTCTATTACGACATGCAAATTTTAAATCATGCATTTGACACGCTTTATTCATGCTGAGTTCAGCATAAATATATATTTT